GTACTGGAGATCAAACTCGGGTTCTTGTGCTTGAAAGGCAGGCAGCAGAACTGCGGAGCTAAATCCCCGGCCCCGATACTTAACTCTTTAGCCTCAGACTATGCCTTATAATATGACAGGAGTTCCAACTCATGCTCATACTAGCAATGGGAAAACCCTCATTAGCTCTTTAATGATTTTTCAGACTAGAATTCAATCTCTTACTTTTTTCTACAGTAGTTAGGATATGAAAGAGCATTTTATGCCTTTGATGGCTTTGGGCCTGGTTAGGAAGGTCTTGGAACTTGCAGATCTGGGAAGGCTCCATTCTCGGACCAGGTAGTACATGCTGGAACTTATTGTAAGTAGCTTTATTCAGAGCAACTGGAGAACTTCTGTGTTCTAGGAGAAAGATAATAGTACAGACTTGTTGCTCTTCCTCTAGATTGGAATTCAGGAGCTGTGGTAGTTGGATCTCAGTATTGCTTAACGTTATACCAATACCTTTATGACTTTGTCATAAAATCAGCTACTGTCCTAGTTAAAATGCACAGTTAAACTATTTACATGTTATTTTTGTTTACTACTGAAAATGAGATATAATTATTACATGTGTGTGTGTGTTTGTGTGTGTGTATAAATATATATGTCTGTTAGACTTCATATCATTTTAAGGTTTAAAGTAATTCCTTTTCCCCCAGATAAATTAAAAATTAGTGATACCATTGACTTCAATTCCTCAAACTGCTTTATTTAAATACAGTATTTTAAGAATCACTAGTTTACTTTTTGTTTCAGAAGTAGTTTTAGGATTACTTCCAGTTCATATGTCAATAGTAAGTCCTTCAAGACCATTATAGCTGATTGAGTTAAACATGTTTACTATTAATTTTAGGCCGGAATGATTTTAATGGGCATGGAATTCAGTCCCTTATTTTGGTGAGAAAGAGTTTTCAAGTTTGTGGATTGCATTTACCTCTACCAATAGCACTTTATTGAAATATCTTATTGGGATATTGGTTTTGGTTTTTTCTTTTTTCCCTGCCTATTTGTATGCAGGCTATCCCTACCATATCTTATTCTTTGCAATACTTCCACTTTAGGTCCTGTTTCCTCTGATTTGACAAGAAAGACAATCTTGTAATAATAAGTTATATTCTAGCTCTGAAGACTTCACCTAAGAAGTTTCTCTTCATTAGAAGTACCTGGATCACTGCAGAATGACTACAGAAGTAATATTACATTATCGACCGTATGAGAGTGATCCCACACAACTACCAAAAATTGCAGAAAAAGCAATTCAAGACTTTGCTACTCGTCCACCAACAAGATTTATTCCTTGGTTTCCACATCATGGCGCCAAACTTCCAGTCAAACCTAAAAGATCACCACCTGGAATTTCTGAAGAGGTAGCTGAAGATGTGAAACAATATTTAACAATTTCAGAACATAGTGTTAAATCACAGAGCTATGATTGTACAGTAGATCTCTTGGAGTTTCAGCCTAGTTTGAAAAAGCAGCACTTAATTCAGTCACATACAATAAATGAACAGACAGCCTCTGGAAATCTGGATAAAAAATCAGAAAAAGGAAAACAGCACAAGAGAAGGTCTTGGAGTGTTTCACTTGTTGGCACTAATTGTACTGAAAATATTTTTCCTTTGTGTAAAAAATTGCAAGATAATTTAAAGGCACTAAATTTGCACTCACTTTATAGAGCACGATGGACTATAGAACATAGTGTTTGTAACAACCAAACTCTGGAAGACATTTGGGCACAACTTAATCAAATGATCAAGCACAATGAACTTCCATCCTGTAACGCTACAATTCAGAGACATGTAGGCCAAATATGGGTTTTTTGTGATATTATGTACTGTGAATACGTGGGAAACATTCTTAAAGAAAGATTATCTCTTACTGGGAAAATTAATTTATTTGTGCATAAACATGGTATTATTTTTAGTATGTAATGAATTCTGATTGTCAAAATTCATAGAATAAAAGTTTTATAAAAGCCCAAAAGCATATATTTACTTAACAAATTGAAATGCTTACCTTGGGCTAGGTGCTAGGACATAGTAAGAAAGACAAACATGGACCTTAACTGCCACAGAGCAAACTTTGAGTTACTGTTGGTCAAACAAGCTTCTTGAGAAAAACCAGTGAAACTATACCCACTAAAAAGGCAGACATGTTTACTGTATAGTACAGTGTCCAGCATGGCAGGAGCTCAATAATGTAGGGTAAATGTGATCTTTGGAGTGATTGTTTGTGGTCTGAGCTGAGTAATGTTTTAAACACAAGGAATCAGCTAACTTTTACTAATGAGATAATCTTTTCCTGATACATTTCACTCTATCCATATCCTCTTTTGTTCTTAATTACCTTTATACTATCTCATATAAGACTCGTTAGAAAATAATTGTGCATACATACTTCTAAAAATCAACTGGAAAGCTCTGGGAAGTAAAAAAGTTCAGGGCAACTTCTTCAATAACACATTTCTCGTTTGTTTCATTTCACTCCATTCAGTGCTATAGAGACTTCATGAAGTCATTCAGTTCAGTTTAAAAAAAAAAAAAAAAAGTTATTCAGTATTGCCTGTAAAGTTGCCTGTAAAAGATTGGCATTATGCAATCTTAAAAAATACATTTGATTTTTATTTTTCAGGATACCACAATGTTGCCAATCAGGGTTTTGACAATCATAATATTGATTTTTTTTTTTTTAATGATACAACTACTAGTTCGGTACAAAATGAAAAATACAAGGTATGTTTAGGAATCATGGGATTCTTCTGTATAGTTTTAAAACCAATACATCTTTGAGCTAAGCATGGTGGCACATGCCTATAATCCTAGCACTCAGGGAGGTGGCACCTGGAGGATCACAAAGTTTGAGCCCAGCATGGCAACTTTACTGGAAGAGACCCTGTCTCAAAATAAAAAGTGTGAATGGACACAGTGCAAAGGCCCAGTACCCCAAAAAAAGCATGTTTGTTGTAAGTAAACATGTTAAATTTTACTTACTCTAAATTTCTACCCCTCTGAGAATGAAATTCAAAACTAGGAAATTAAAGAATGAATTTTAATTCAAACAGTGCAATGATCTTTAAAAAAAAAAAGGATTAATTTCTCATCTACCTTAAGTACTTAATCAAGACCTAAGAACTTAACCCATTGTTTTTTCCTTGGAGCATTTTTAGTGTATTTAGAACATCATAACTAGTGATTATAGCACTAGCCAGTAGTAGGACCCAGCAATATTTTTGGGTTTCACCGAGTTGTACATGTGGGAATATACTGATGAAAAAAATCCAAGTATAGAAAGATAAATCTATGAGAGCATTTGGTAAAATACCATCAGTATTTACTCTACAAAAGTGACAGTGGTACCATAATTGAATTTTTTCCATCTGCCTGCCTTCTAGTAAGATAAAGTCTAATTCAAAGGAAAAAGATAAAATGGGGTGAAATAACATGGTAAAAATGTTTTTGAAATTTCCAAGATGAGTTCCTACCTAGTGGTTCGATTGAACTTAATCTATACAAAATGCAAAAAAATAATGCTGCATTTAAAAACTTGAATGCGGGGCCGGAGATTAGCTCAGCGGTTCGGTGGCCTGCCTTGCAAGTGCAAGGACCCAAGTTCAATCCCTGGTACCAAAAAAAAAAAAACTTGAATGCCTTCAGGAGCAAACATGTAAGGTTTGCAGAATATGTAAAGACTAATTCTGGAGAAGATTCCACCTAATATTTTTAATCTGGCCAGCCAAAATGTATGCAACTTGTACTTGACCTAGTTTTCTGATTTTTAACCTCTTACTTATCTTTGTGTTATTTTTAATGGTCTACGAAAGTTTTGTTTTTAATATGATTTTTTAGTAAAATCATTAAATATTTGACTCCGCTAAAGATCACTGTTTTTACTCAATTTAGAATGCTAAAATGTATAATTAGTTTAAGAAACCTGCTTTAAACTTTCAAGACTCAGTGCGAAATTACTCCAGTAATTTCGAAATAAACCAGTTAATTTGTTGGTTTTTTTTAATTCTTGCTTTTATTGGTAAAGTTTTTGGTTTTTTCCACCTAACATTGTTTAATTTCCTAGGTCCATTAATTCATGATAAGACAGGTAATACTGAGTTTTAAATCCGAATTTGATGTTGGCATATTTGTTAATGTTCTCTAGACAACTGTAATGAAACCCTAACTGATTTAGAAGTTCAAGGAATAAAATAGTTTTTGTGTTATTAACTCATATCAGAGGCTGATTAGTTCTTCAATCTGCTGAGAGAGAGATGCGATGAGTGCTAAAGAAAAAAGACTAAGAGATGCACTTTCAAAGTACAGGGCGGTAAGCCTAGGAGGTCAAAGACTGTTGGGTAGCCACTATTTATTGGGTACATACAATAATCAGAGGGAATATTAGATGACTCATAGGGTGGCTGTAATCCTATGTTGATGAGGATCTTAGGTTGATGAGGATGGTGAAATGGGCAAAGCTTTCTTACAATAGTACATGGGACAACATAGCAGGCTAAACTGGACATGGTGGCGCACGCCTGTAATGCCAGCTGTCAGGAGGCTGAGGCAGGAGGATCACTGTGAGCTGGAGACCAGCCTGGGCTACATAGTGAGAGACTGTCTGAAGAATAAAAAAATTTTTGAAAAGATACCAGGCTAATAAGGAATTTGTCCCTACCCCAGGTGAAACCTTTTCTCTATTTTTTAATTATTACTCGGTTCTCAAAAGAACCATGATGTCTCAGCTGATGTAATCTTGCCCTGGAGCATCATAGGATTATGGAACCATTGTGGCCTCACCTGTGACTGGAGGCAAACAGATTTGTATTTACATATGCCATGGCTGGCCTGCAAAGCAAGGAGACGTTAGGCTTCAGACAGCCCTAACTATAATTTAATTATGAATTGATTTTTCTCCAAAAATTTTATAGAATGGGCTCTTGACAAACTCAGATTTCTTAGGTTGTAGAATCTATAATATGATAAAGTGTTTTTATAGTAATTCTTTGAATCCACAGGGTGATGGTATTTCCCATCAACTGCTTCTGAAGAAAAGGGTTTTTTTTAATACCTTTAGTGTGTGTGTGTGTTTTCCTGGTACCAGGGGTCAAATTCAGGACCTTGAACTTGCTAGGCTGGCACAACATCACTGAGCTACATCCCTGGCCTGGGGATACCAATTTGAGATTCTTTTTTGCAACAGATTCTTTGCTATTTTCTTGCTGGGCTTGAACTCATTTTATAGCCTAGGTTGGCTTTGAACTTTTGGCAGTCCTGTCTTAGTCTCCTAAGTGCTAGGACTACAGGCATGTACCAGTAAAATCTTTTCATTTTTAATGGGTTGCTTCTTATTCACCTCCCACCATTTCATACCATACCATATGAAAAAAGGAAAACTGAGCTTTACAGGAATTTTTCTACACAATAGAAAGTTAAGTCTATATATATTTGGGTTAAACTGAAGGACACTTTTTAAAGTTTTTCAGAATTCCCTTGAGAGTATATTTCTTTATTAAAATTTGGTTTCTCCTGAAATTAAAAAGAATAGAACAAAATAGAAATCTTAACTGGATTAAGATCCAGGGTCTGCCATTTATCTGCTATATAATCCTTCTTTTGCCAATTACCTCCACCAGGCATTATCTGGGCACAGTCCATATAATGGCAATAATTGCACCAGTCTTATCAAGTGTAATGAAAATTAAATGTGTTAGTACTTTTAAAGTATGTAGCATAATGCCTGGCACTAATAAATACTCAGTGAAGCTACTATACAAAATGAATTCAGAAATTCTGGGGTTAACATTTGTTTACTCTTTTAGTATAAACATACATTCAAGATAATGCCAGTTTCTTGGGGATTTTGGTAGATGCTGATGCCTTCTCATTTATCAAAGAACTACACAGTCTGCTGTGTGCCAGCATACTGTGTGAAACAGAGGCTGTGTTGGGCATGGTGGCACACACCTGTAATCCCAGCACTCAGGAGGTTTAGGCAAGAGGATCACCTTGAGTTCAAGGCCAGCCTGAACTACATAGCAAGAATCTTATCTAAATAAAAAAAGCAAAAAACAAATGCAGGCTGCAAAATTGAGTGATGCCTAGACCTTATAGAGTTTGGAAAGTAGTGTTATGAATAAATAATATAGTTAATGATAAATAAAAGATGCTTTAGAAGAAACAATGTTATCTATTATTTCAGAAAAGGGTTGTCTTAGTTACTTTGGTCAAACAAAATACCCACCACCAAAAGTTAAAAGAGGAAAGCTTTATTTTGGCTCACTGTTTGTAGAGGTTTCAGATCATAATTGTCTGACTCTAAGGTAAGGTAACATGACAGAGGGGCATCACAGAAGAGAAACAGTTCATGTCAGGCAGAAAGCACCAAGCAGTGAAGTAGCAGAAGCAATCCACCACAGCAGCCCTCTTTATATTCTATCCAGTTCTTTATATTCTATGGAGACTATTTGTCCTTAGAGAAGGTAGCATCCAAACCCAGGATAGGCCTTCCTATTATCCATACCCAAAACTATGCCAAACCAATCAGTTAACTAATTTAGTAATCACACACCCTTAATCCCAGTATCACACTGCACACTATAGATCCAGCCACCTCTGCAAAGCTCCACCTATAACTGCATGAGATTAGGGGGACATCTAGATACAAGCCATAACAAAGGTGATTTTTAAGCTGAGACCAGGATGAGAAATAAACTACATTTGAATATATACTTCTAATGAAGTATAAAGATACAGCCTTCTTTACTTTATTTTCTGAAAAAGTTTAATTTTTTGTCTTTATTTTGTTTTCCAATGGCAATCTTTAGATATAGCCAAAAAGATTAATTTAAAAAATTGGAATGTCCTACCTGTAATAAACAGTGGAGAAATAAGACCACCTGAGCAGGTTGCAAAGAGGTACAGACTTTATTCACCTGGGTAGAGTTGGACTGACACCAAGTAAGCCATTAGCACAAAAAACAAAGAAAGGCGGAAAGCTTTATAGGGCGTTAGAAGAGAAATCTGGCATGTCAATCATGTATAGGTGTCAACAAATATTTTTAGTCAGGGTCCATGCAGTGATCAGGGCAGATGTGTGGACATTTTCAAGTGATGTGGTGTTGTATCTGCTCTGAGATAGCACCAAGATGGCTTTTGTTGGGCAGAGACAGCACCTGCATCAGCTGCCTGTTTTGTTGTGTTCTTTTGTGCCTTGGTACTGTAGCTTGGAATTAAAGAGCATACTCATTAACCTTTTCATGACCAGGTCAAACCTGACACTACCCTCACTAGATTTAATAAATAATTCACTTTTTTCTCTTATTTTTTCATGGTTTAATAGTTGTTTATTTTACTACATTGTTTATTTTATATAGCTTTTTTGATATTTGAAATAAATTAGTAAATTTTTAATCTTAGTTTTGGATGGAATTATGTAAGCCTGTTTATTAGCTGATATTATCATACTTATAATATGCAGATCGATAGTAAAGGGAAACCTCTTGAGTTTCCAGTGAACATTGATTATGATTGAGAAAGCTCAAAAAATCTTGGCATAAATTTATTTCATAATTAAAATGGTACATCTGAACTTGTTTCCCTGCCAGACTAATACAGTTTGTTGATAGTTTACAAGGAAGTCACCCTAGTTAAATAAAAGATAGATAGTAGGAAACAGGGAAATACATTTTTTTTTCAAAATGGAAGGGAATCAAGTGATAGAGGGAAAGGGGAAGGGAATGAAAAGAGAATTAATATGTGTTATGTACATGTACCCGCTTCCCATGGTGAATGTGGTCATTGTGTGCTGCAAACATGTACTAAACAAAATAAAATTTTGAAAAGAATAAAACTTTGTGTTCCTAATATACCTTCAACTTTAAAATAATTTTCCAGTTTTTCTATAGTGGCATGTATTATATTTGCATTTAATTTTTATAATATATGAATTGTACAAAAAGCAAAATTATTCTTTTAATATAAGTTTTTATTGCATACTAACTTTTCTTCTTTTTTAAACTTTTTTGTAATTTTTCTTTTCTTTTTTCTTTTTTTTTTGTGGTGGGGATTGAACCCAACAACTCTTGCATGCTAGGCAACTGCTACACCGCTTCTTTTAAATTTTGAAATAGTCTTATAAAGTTGCCCAGGCTGGCCTTGAATTCTCCATCTTCCCACCTCTGCTTCCTGAGTGGTTGGGATTATAGGCATGTACCACGAGACCCAGCACATATTAACATTTTAAATAAACCATTCATGGAGATAATATTATAAAGTATTTAGATATTTTATATTAGTATGAAATTGAATGCTATATGCTAGATTTGAAACTATTAGCTCAAAACAATATTAATGTTTTTTGTTTGTTCACTTTCCCAATTCATAGTGATGCGGTTGACTAAGCCGACTTTATTCACCAATATTCCAGTAACATGTGAAGAGAAAGACTTACCCGGTATGTATAGCATATGATTACTGTATTTGGACCAAGAGAAAAGTTGAACTTTTGAGTTGCTGAAATTTTTTTGTAATAAATATAGCCTTACCAATCTTATGCTAACACTTCCCTGAATTCTTTCTTGCCTATGAATGGTAGCCATCTGAGTATTAGGCCTCATTATAATCCACACGTCAAAATACTGTTGATGATATGGTAATAAGAGACTTTGGTTTTAAGTAAAGATACATCATATTCATAACACTATTAAAATATTGCCTTTATTGTTAAATGTTTCATAAGTATAGCTATAGCATTCTCTTAGAGTTTTTTGGTTTTTGAGATAGGGTCTTACTACCTCAGCCCAACCATGAACTTACTATCTAGCCCAGGCTGGCCTCAAACTCACAGTGATTATCCTGCCTCAGCTTCCAAGTACTAGGATCACAGACATGTGCCACCATGCTCAACTTTTACTTAGAATGATTCGTGCCTTATATAGTGTATTGTATACTTCATGACCTGCATTTTTCTGTTTCTGACGTGTTCATTCTCTGTGAGATCAGCATTTTTGATAGGCTCTTTTTAAAGATTTAAGTGACATAATACATTATAGAAATATACTGACATCTCTTCCAACTATATATTTTGGGAGGTCCTGGGGATCAAACCCAGTCCCTTGCACATGGTAGTCTATACCATTAGCTATAACCATAACTCCTCAACTATATTTATATAGAAATAAAATTATCTAAAAGGTAGAGGTTTGAATTTTATGTTTTTCTCTTGCTACAGGAGATCTCTTTAACCAACTGATGAGAGATGATCCTTCAACAGTAAATGGTGCAGAAATTTTAATGTTGGGGGAGATGTTGACTTTACCACAGAATTTTGGGTAAGAGTAATATAATCATGTAAGACGTGCAACAGTACGTTAAAGCCATTACAATTCATGTTTCAAAAAATAACCAAAGAATGGGAAAATGCTGTCATAGATTACAAGTAGTTTAAAAGTTATAAAAATTATACTATATGATTGTAGTTTAAATTTTTTTTTTTTTTTTTTTTTTTTTTTTTTTGTTC